CGGGGCTCACGGCCGCGACTCTGAAACTTCTGAACGAGCACATTATGCAATATCACCGAGCGCTCAACTGGTGATGTCTAAGTCTTAAGGTCGGTCAAAAATGGGGTGTCTACACTCCCAAGGATTCCAATGAATCCCATACTCGATGTGGCGGTTAGCTCTCATACAATGTACAAATTTTCTTAGGTGCAATTCACCAATTGAAAATCAAAATTTATAAGGAGAGGATGAGCAAGAGACTTTATATTCACTTTATTAATGGAGAGGATTAGTTAGGATTGTAACAGATTTATGAAATTCTCTATTCCTAAATTCCAGCTCATATTTCAGTACACTTCTAATCGTATGATTATACCTCAAATTGTTATGTTTTGAAATTCATGTCACAATGCAAGATGCCGCAAGGGAGTGAACCCAAGATAATAACGTCAAAACAAATAATTTATATAATGATTGAGAGATGAGAATCGAGAACTTATTGCACCACAGCACCAGTCTTTGCCATTTCTGAGCAAAACGGAAATGATAGATTTTGTGTTGTAACTTGTGTGTATGATGTATATAGTGAATATATATTAGTTTAACATCATTCAACGGCAAATAATTTATATGTATATTTAATATTTTTTATATATTTACATATGCAATTAGGTTTTCGGGGTTGCCTAGTGTCTTTATTGTTAGAATTAGGCACACTCATAATTCAATCACACACAAAAATGAGGCAAATATTTACGTGGTTCGGCCCAATGCCTACATTCACAGGAGAGAAAGAGAATGCACTATAATAGTGCAAAAATACAAAAAACAGAGGAGGAGTATATCACTCTCTCTACTCAACTCAAAGCTCACATACACTTCTCAAAACTCTTTCTTTTTCTTCACACTCTGATGATTAATTCAGCTCATAGATCTTCCTATTTATACACAAACAGGAGACCCTCTGCGTGCCAACCTCTGCTTGCCAACAACCAACTATAAAAAAATAAATGGCAAGCTTACTACACAACCACCCTAGTTTTGAAAATCTTCAGAAAATCTATATTTACAGCCTCCATACTTGACTTCCATAGCCAAGTTCACATTGGTGTGGAAGCTCAACATTTGTCACACCCGGCCCAAATTTATTTGGGCTTCTAAACATTTTGCCCAGGTCTACTCATAATTCAAATATATATTGCCTATGGCCTAGAATTTTTTGGGTTGGGCTTGGGTTGCTCCAATTGGTCCCACCCAAGTTGCACCCTATCGTAGAGTGCGGGCATCGTTTAGAATGAATGCAGTGCTGACAGTGCTAATGCTAGTACTAAATTAAGTTTAAGCTGGAGTAATACAGTGTTGATATCCTCGTGTTGATATTATCAGGCAGGGAAAGGTGGAGAGTTAACACATGATGAAACTACCATTATCTCTGGAGCTTTGGATTTGACCCAGAAGACTGCTAAAGATGCTATGACACCTTTATCTGAAATATTTTCCCTTGATTTGAATTCTAAACTAGACGAGTACGCTGCAAAAAACTTACTTCGATCTCTGCATATATTTACACCATTTTCTACTTATAAGTTTATTTATGAGATGAGGTATATGTTTGTTTTGCTCCCCCAGGGATACAATGAGCTTGATAATGAGCAAAGGGCACAGTCGCATACCTGTCTATTCAGGAAGCCCATCAAATATTATAGGCCTTATTTTGGTAAGCATATGGTGGAACCTGTAACAACCTGTTTGTTTGTGTTCATATTTTTTATTCATTATTGTTTTTTTGTGTTTTAAGAGACAAAACAACGGAAATTAACTGTTATGACATTTTCTATGATTGTTAGGTAAAAAATTTAATCAAATGCCGTGCTGAAGACGAAACACCAATCAAAATTCTTACCATCAGGAGAATTCCTAGGTACAAAATTTTGTAAATGTATTTTGGTCTTGAATTTGCAAGCAATGCCATAAATATTTTTATTTTTTCTTATTTTTTTGTGCGTGATTTTATCTGTGAAAGGGTGGGGGACAGTTTACCACTGTATGATATATTGAACCAATTCCAAAACGGGCACAGCCACATGGCTGCTGTTGTGAAGAGCAAGCACAATGTTAAGGACTCTGCAGGAAATGCAACAGACAAAAATGACATGATCATGATAAACATCAATTCAAACTCATCAATATTACAAAAACAAGCAGAGGGAAAAGGTAATTTCTTTCAATATTTTAGGTGCTTTATATTACAATCCAAAATTCCATTCACCTGATCATGTGACTGACATTGCATTGCGTACAAATTTCCCAGATTTTGTATATAGAAAATCCCATGCCTTGTTTCAGTCTATTTATTAAAATAAAGTCCAATGGAACACAAGGAAACTTGTAGTTATATGTTGGTCATTGCTATTTCCTTATATGATATATAGGAATTGAGAACAAGCAACAAGAGAGTATCTATACACATGCACCACCATCTGTGACTTCCAGCGACACTACTGAGAGTCAGAGTCCAGCATTACAGTACATAACGGAGCGATGCAATGATAGCTGGCACCCCCAACCAAAGAAAGGAGGTGAACAAGGGGATGCAAATATAACAAAGGAAGTTTTGGAATCACTTCCAGATCAAGAGGAAGAAGTCATTGGTATCATTACTATGGAAGATGTTTTAGAGGAACTCTTGCAGGTTAGCAATATATATAACTAATTAACTAGTATTAATAAATACTATGATGTACTTCATGCAAACGTTATTTTGTGTTCCATTATAGTTAATTAATTTTGCTGCTTTAGATGTAACATATAGAAATTAATTCTGTCCAAGTTGATAAAACTAGCTTCAATATGAACACTTTTCTTCCATACAGGTGTAGGAAATTTCATATATGTAAATATTAGATCAGTCTTTTCATATATGCTTTTCTTTCTGCAAGTCTTCTAGGTATCCTGATAACATACCTAAAATTTTATTTCCCCTTAAAAAAAAAAAAAAAAAACACAGTAGCAACAACAACAACGATTCAATCCTACAACAACATCCTCAACATCAAAATCATCAACAACAATATCATCAAACAACATCAACAACACACAAATCTGAGTATAGAGAGAGAGAGATCCATCTGCTCAGATCTGGTGTGACAGAGGGAATGTCGTCGTCATCGAAGGTCTTGGAGGAGAAGGAGGTAGCGCTTGTCATCGGAGGAGGAGGAAGAGGAGGTGGCGCTTGTCGTCGTCGTCGGATGGTCTGGTTCGTTTGGACCGTCGACGGCGCTGTGTTGGGGAAAGAGCTCTCAGGGCGGAGGAGGATGGACTCTATAGATCTGGTGAAGATTTGGCTTGGAAGGAAAGCGAAGGTCTCTGTTTCGCCCATCTGCACGTCCGCCATTGATCTTCATCACAAGAACTACACAGCAAAGAGAGAGAGGGAGAGAAGCTGAGAGAAGTGAGTGTAATATGAGTGAGAGAGAGAGGCTGAGAGAAGAGAAGTGACACAAGATAACCCTAAACATATATAATATATATATATATATACGGGGATTAGTCATATATATATATATACGGGGATTAGTCGGGGCGGGGCCGGGCCGGGGCCGGGGTTAGGGAACCTATCCCCGTCCTCGTCCCCGGCCCGAAAACCATCGGGGATTTAATTTTCAATACTATCCCCGGCCCTATGGGGATAGTTTTCGGGGAAAACTCGTTCTAATCGGGGTCGGGTCCCCATCAGGCCGAGTTTAAATTGTCATCCCTAGTGAATGCTCTTACTATTGGCACCTTAAACCTAATGAAAGACACTATAGAGAAATATGCCTAACAATGCTAATTTTCCATACATAGGCTTATACCTTTTGTGGTTCAAAAAAAGATACAAACGTGATGTGAGCACTTCGGGTGGGAATAATGTGAATTGTGAGATCATACAAATTTTGAACAGGACGCCATTTGAAAATTAGCTTAAAAATTATATATTTTCAATATTTAAGGTAGCGTTTAGTAATATTTACGTTTTTTATTTATGTTCACAAAAAATTTATAAACTGATTTTTATTTATTTTTAGAAAAACATAAACTATAAACGCATTTAGTTTGAACAAAATGTTTTAAAAATTTTAAAAACATAAACTAAAAACTATGTTTGTTCAGGCCTAAAATATTTATATTTATTTTTTATTATTTATGGCAATGGGATCTTACACATTATAATTGAAAAAAAAAATTAATTGGAAAAAAAATTAATTGAAAAAAATTTTTGTTAGTCAAATTTTTAAATTTTTGTTTAAAAATCAATGTAAACTCATTTTTTGAGTTTACGTTTTTTCCTTAAATTTACAAACTGCGGACGGACTATTTATAAATCAAAAAAATTATCAATTTTTTTAATTTTTATAAATATAAATTGAAAATTAAAAACAAAATAGTTACCCAACAGATCCTACCTTTTGAAAAAATAAATAAATAAAAAAGCATAATAATCTACCAACTCCTTGCTATATAGAGTCACTACAAGAAAAGTGAGTATATGAGACGGGACTATTTGCGACAGCACACTTGCCATCTCAAAAAGGTCACTTTTTGCGACGGCAGAAAATGCCGTCTCAAAAAAGCAGAGTAATTTGCGACGGCACTATTTGCCATCTCAAAAAAGCATAGCATTTGCGACGGCACAATTTGCCGTCTCAAAAAATGAGAGCATTTGCGACGGTATTTTCTGCCGTCGCAAATACTCTGTTTTTTTTGAGACGGCAAATTGTGCCGTCGCAAATACTCTGCTTTTTTGAGACGGCAAACGGTGCTGTCGCAAATACTCTGCTTTTTTTAGACGGCATTTTTTGCCGTCGCAAAAAGTGACTTTCGTGTTTTTTTTTTTAATTTTTAGTGAATATTTTTAAAATTTTAAATATTTTTTTTAGATGCACCTTACTTAGATGTATCTAAAAAAAAAAATTATGAAAAAATATTTTTAAAAATTAATAAATACATTAAAATACAAAAAAAAAAATGTATTGTATTTTTGGTATTTAGTGAATTTTTTTAAAAAAAATTTTACAATTTTTTTTAATTTTTAGGTGTATTTATATTAGGTGTGTCTAAAATTTTTTAAAAAAATACTTAAAATATTAAAAAAAATCAGTAAAAACAATATAACACGGAAAACAAGAAAGTATAATTTTCTCAAAAGAATTTTTGAAAAACTCTAACCTAGCATAGTGATTGTGGTTTTGAGACAGCTTCATATATATACAGTCACAAAATGGTTTGAATAAATTCTAGTACTTTTTTCTTTCACAAAAAAAATTTAAAAAAACAATGTCTTCTTACTCTTTTGATGTAACATTTCTCTTTTCATTTATTTTTTCATCTTCATGTCTCTCTACCTCTATCTCTCTCTCTTCTCTTTATCTCTTTCACTCATCACTCTTCTCTCTCTCTCTCTCTGTCTCTCTCGCTCATCTCTCTTCTCTCTATCTCTCTCATTTCTTTTCTCTCTCTCTCTTATCTTTCTATCTCTCTCGCCCATTTCTCTTATCTCTCTGTCTCTCTCTTTTTCTGTGTCTCTCTCTTGCTCATCTCTTTTCGCTCTATTTCTTTCTCTTTTTGTCTATCTCTCGCTCATCTCTTGTTTCTCTCTCTTTTTCTATCTTTCCCTCTATCTCTATCTCTCTCTCTCTTTCTCTCTCTATCTCTTTTTCTGTCTATCTCTCTCTCCCTGTCTCTCTCTCACTCATCACTCTTTCTCTCTCTTACTCATTACTCTTCTCTCTCTGCCTGTCTATCTGTCTTTCTCTCAGTGTATCTCTCATTCATCTATCTCTTCTCTCATCTCTTTTCTCATTTATTTTCTCTCTCTGTCTCTTTTGCTCATCTCTTTTCTCTTTATCTCTCTCGCTCATCTCTCTTCTCTCTATCTCTCTCATCTCTCATCTTTTTCTATCTCTCTCGCTCATCTCTCTCCTCTCTATCTCTCTCTGTCTCTCTCATCCATCTCTCTTCTCTCTATGTCTATTTTCTGTCTCTCACTCTCTATCTCTCTCTCTCTCTCTCTCTCCTACTGTGTTTGCGTTGCTCACTTTCTCACTCTCGTCTTCTCTATTTACTAAGCTCCCTCTCGATTTATCGATCCACTACAAGAAAATGAACTTTTAGCGACCACTTTGTCTCTCTCTCGCTCATCACTCTGTCTCTCTCCTCTCTCTCTTCTATCTGTCTCTCACTCATTTCTCTCTCTCACCACCCATCTCTTCTACCACCTTTACCACTATTGCATGTGAGTTCCTACAAAATAAATTTGTGTATTCTACAATCCAAGACACGTAGGAACCCTTTAAGTCCAACCTTTCCCACTCCCATCAGACATGAAAAAATTCCCCAGGTATATTACAATAAGAGTTTATTACACTATTTTGGACTACATTGAATTCCATTATTATTATTATTATTATTATTTGTGAGCAGGGAAAGCTTTGGTTTCTCCAATTGAGAGATATGAAGTTGTTCCTGATGACAACGTAAGTGTTCTTTCCACAGTCTTCATTGTCTTCATTACTGGTGTTTAAATAGTTGGTTTATCCAAAAGATTATAATTTGCAACTGTTATCTATTTGCAGTTGTTCCTGATGACAACGTAAGTGTTCTTTCCACAGTTTTCACTGTCTTCATTACTAGTGTTTAAATAGTTGGTTTCTCCAAAAGATTATAATTTGCTACTGTTATCTATTTATTTGTAGGTCAAAAGGATAAATTTTGCCGAGGGGAAGATTTGATTCTAGAAGTAAGGAATTTGCAGCTTGATTTTTGAAATAGGCTCAAAATTGAGATCTTGTTGGAAATTTTTTATTTTTTGTTAGAGCATTTAAATAATCAATGTGCTGATTGGTGAATTTTAGATTTTATTTTATTATTTTATTTTTTTTAGGATTTGGGTGAATTTTATAATCTAAATATGTTTTTATGAACATGTACAGTTTAATTATTCTTTGTAAAATATTGAATTTGATGGTTTGATCAATTTTTATTTTTATTTTCTGTTATGATGTTTTTGTGAATGGAATGTAAATAATCAGCTCTTAGAGAGTGAAAGACGGCATCACCGTCGGAAAAAATAGAAATTTTTAATATTTTTATTAATTTTGTTATAAGTTTTACTTTTTGTGACGACATTGTACTGTCGCAAAAAATAGAAATTTTGTTATTTAAAATAAAAATTTTATTATTTTTTAATATTTTTTGCGACGGCATTACATTGTCGCAAAAACAGAAAATTTCATATTTTTTTATACTTTTTGCGACGGCACCACACCGTCGCAAAAATAGTATTTTTTTAAAAAAAAAAGACTATTAGCGACGGTATTTTTTTGCCGTCTCAAATAACATTTTTAGCGACAGTAAAATAGGGCCGTCGCAAAAAAGTCAAGAAATTTCAAACGTTATTAGCGACTGCACGATGCCGTCGCAAAAAGGTAAAAAATGCCGTCGCAAAACATTAGCGACGGCACTTACCGTCGCAAAAACTCTTTTGCAACCCCTGCAGTTGCGACCCCCCTCTTGCCGTCGCAAAAAGTCATTTTGCCGTCGCAAAAAGTATTAGCGATGGCATTAGGAGTATTAGCGACGGTATTTTACCGTCGCAAAAAGTCAATTTTTTTGTAGTGTTTATTTATTGGCTGCACGTGTACAGTTTTGATTTGTATACATTCCTGATTAGAAGTCATGTTTTATATA